AAAGGAAGCGCTAACAAGCAGAGGGGGGGGGGTCAGCCGTAAATATCTAGCTTGAAGTAAGCATGAAGTCTGGAGCCGATATTTCTCATCGGAATTTCCAGCACAGCAGTCGGTGTATTTATGTTTATATATTTATGTCACCACTAACCAGGAATATTAATTAATATTGATTAATATAATATTTAAAGGAAAATGAAAGAAATGTCGAATTTTGGGGAATATTAGAGTCTTAAAATTCCTTCAGTGAGCACCAAATCCGTTTGTTTTTAATCTTTGTGAAGAAACAATCTCAAGAACTGACGAGGGTCAACCCAGACCGAAATATATTTTCAATTACTTGTGGAACTAGCATCTACTTTTTTACTCTACAGAGGTTTGGTCCATCACCATCACCGAATTCTAAACAAATCCGTATTACTAGGTCTGAGCAAGTTTATATTTGTTATAACTTTTAAAATGTTACGTAATAACGGACAGGTCACCCTGTAAGTAACTATTCGAATTTTTAACTGTTAACTAAACGTTCTCTCAAACTGTTAACGAATATATATATATAATATAAATAAATATACAGAGTGTCTCAAAAAAAAACGAAGAATAAGGCTACAGACTCATTTGTAATCGGATTTTCAAAATTGAGACCATTTTTAAAATATACGTATACAATTTCCTATTCCATAAGCCCAATTTTAGGCTGGTAGATCTAAAAAATGTCAATTTTAAAGGCTTCTAAAGGTTCCAACTGGAGTGAATATAAATGCTTTTATGTTTTAATTTTAAAAAATTTGTCATAGAAAGACTTATTTAATAGTTGTACTACAGAAACTCTGATTTTTAATTCCTTTATATATTTGCCTCCCGGCCGATGGCAAAGACCTTTCATACTTCAAACTATGAATTCTTTTAGACCAATTAGTCTAAGTCTGAAGTAACAAAAGTTTAACACCATCAGGTTGCAATGATATATGGATTTAAAAAAATTAGTTTGTGGCAAGAACTTAGTTCCAATTTTGCCTCAAAAAAAAACAAGAAAGTGTTTAAATGAAATGTTTGAAATAAATATCAGTAGATGAAGTAAAATATCAGTAGATGAAGTAAAATATCAGTAGATGAAGTAAAATCATAAAAATTTCAAGTTTGCAGTTTAATTTATTTGTTAATTCACTTTGAGAAATAAATCTTACATGCATACATTCAAAATGAAAAATACAAAAGCAAAAAGTTGGCTTGATTTGTAGGTTATGTAGCTCTGTGAGTAAAGAGAAATATATGCAAAAAGTACATTTCAGTTTCTCCCATGGTCAAATTTATAGATAAAGTTTTCAAAACATCATAATTTTTTTACAATCTTGATAAACAGATTTGGTAATTTGTTAATTAAATGTTCTCCCTGAGTTTCTGCTATTTTCTACATAATTAAAATAACTTTTATCTTTGCTTCTTATTTAAAAACTCATAAAAATATATTCTGATCGAAATGTTGATTTTGTTTATCATGACTTCAAGATAATTTACAAACGCTTTAAAAGTGCTAGCATTTAAACTGACCATGGGAGAAGATGAATTGTACTTTTAGCACATATTTCTCTATGTAGCCCACAAATTCAGGCAATTTTTGCTTTTGCATTATATTTCTTGGATTTACAGTGTACATGTTAGATTTGGTTCTTAATGCGAATTAACTAATATTTATAATTAATAATTAATCAATGTGAAGTAAAAACATTAAATGATTAAATATTTCGTACAATTTGATAAATTCTTAAAAGTAATCAGTTATTTCAAATTGGTCAAAATGAAGGTTTCCCAAAGATAATCTAAATAGTCATTTAGATCTTAATTAAAATAATTGCACCGTAGAAAACAATAAAAGGAAGTATTCTATTAAAACATATCAATAAATAAATAGACTTCATTGCTGACAATGGAATATATATAAATTAATTGGTTGATTGATTAATTGATTGATAGTTGGCTGGCTAGGGTTAATTACCTACCCCTGTGTTATTATATAGACCTATGTGGTTTCTGAATACTAAAATTAGAAAACACCCTGAAACTCATATAATAGTATATGAATATAGTAATCTCTGTTTGTCTGTTTGTTTGTTTGGATGTCCGATCATAACTCAGAAACCCCGGACCGATTTGCCAAAGTTATGATTATGGAACTTGGTAAAAACAGTGGAATCTTCTTAGCTTGGTTTGGATATTCTAAGTTGAGTGGGTCGACTTTCATAAATAGATAATTTCGTATAAATACTAAGTAACCATGAAGTAATTTCTGGGCAACGCTGGGTTCCCAAGCTAGTATAAAAGTAAGGTATTTATCTCTGCTTAAGCGTCTATCAGTTAGTTAAGATGACCGATCATAACTTAGAAGCCCATGACCGATTTGCCCTAAGTTTTCATTATGAAACCTGAGCTTTAAATTTCTATATGTTGAGTGGAGTGACTTTAATAGGGAAATTTTAGTCTCCAGACAAAGCTGGGTTCCAAAGATAATATAACATGAAGTAAGAAGAAATAAATTACAGATTGGGATTTGGCAAACATTAAACTTTTTTGTTGATATGTATTTTTTACACGTTTACCCTAAACAGTACTCGTTTGTACTTTTTAACCCATACAGGTTTCTCTGGGTGTCAATTCAGTTTTCATTTTGCTTTGAATGCACATGCTCGTGAGATTGTGTACCTAGGAAAACACTGCTCTTATATAACGCTACCTCAAAAACCGATACACTAATAAAACGCTAACAGATAAAAGTTAGTATAAGTGAAGAAATGCTACTCTATAATTATTATATCTGTATGTTTATATGTTTAACAAATATTTAAATTCTTGTCAAATTAATTAAATACATACATAAATAATAAATACAAAAAATATTTTAAAATTCACAACATTTATTTATAAACATCTTTTAATTGAAAATATGCTGCAAATATATATATATATGTGTGTGATAAAATCATTGTCGAACTATGAAATATATAATTTAGACAAAAAAACTATTTAAGAATAAGAGAAGATTAGCTTCTTACTTTTGATTTATAAG